GTTGGTTCAGGGACGCCGGGCTGCTGGTGTGTTGGAACTTTGGAGGGGAAACTTGGGAACAGCCCAGGTACGAAATGGGTATCCGTACGAAGTAGTGTGCGAGAGAGGGAGGGGTGGAGGGGAAGGGGATGGAGATGGGGACAAGACCAGACAATTGTTGCAATGCGCACACCAAGGCAATACGGGCAAAGTAGCAGGCAGACTGGAAGCAGCCCAGTACGGAGTAAAGCAGCATCCAGCAGGGCAGAAAAAGAAAAAAAAAAAACACACACACACACACACACACAAGCACACAAGCACAAGCTGGTCGCACCTCAGTCCTCAGCTACGAATAGTGCGAACAGTCTAGAGACTGAGAGTCCTTGGACCTAGACACTATTCGTACACCAGTTTGGAGGTTTGTCTCGCCTGGGACTGGGACTGGGTTTCGGGACGCCGCCGCGGCACGCAGGGAAAAAAGCTGCGGGACGACAACTTGAACCAACGAGCAGCAGGGAACAGCGGCCCTGGGCAGCAGAGACAGAGACAGAGACGGAGAGAAAAAGAGAGGGACCAGGAAAAGAAGAGAGCGCCAGGGCCACCTCACCTCACGACTCAAACAACCCACTCGTGGATTGCGGCTTGCGGCTTGCGGCGTGCGCACGCAATACCAGACAGAGTGGGAGGCGTAATGAGTGTAGGTACTCCGTATGGAGTGAGAGTTGAGGAATGGACACCGGCGTCGGAGCGAGTTGAGTTGAGTGGTCTCACTCACTCTCATGCTCACTCTCACTCTCACTCTCTTTTTCCCCTGCTCCCTCCCTTTCTCTCACTGTGAGAGTCTGTGAGGGCTTTGCTTGGTGGAGATGGTATAGAGTGATGGGAATTGTGTTTTGTGTGTGTGCGTGGGTTGCTTGATGATTGATTGATCGACTGGGGGTCATGGGGAACGGACCGGGACAGGCACACAGGGCCAAACATGAGAAAGAACATGACACTCACTTGTCTGCGAGGGATTCATTGCTACCGGTGTTGCCATTGCCATTACCCTCCGTCTTGAGGCGCATGGACGACTTGCGCGATGCTGGTATGGGATTGCTGGAAGGTCTCACGGTGGCCGATGATCGGGTGCTGTCGGTACTGGTGCTCGTGAGAGAGCTGAAGCGGGAGCCGGCCTCATTCCTCGTCATTGTCGCCAGGCCGTCGCGAGAGGGCGTAGAGCCATGTCATTCCCAAGAAACAAGGTTGAGAAAACAGAGGGGACCGGCGCAGCACGGCACGCTATCGCTGTGGGCGCAGTACTTCGTACTCGTACGTATCCGTAATTCCGTATTATGAAATGGACGAAAGCGTGAGTTGTGGGCACTGGGACGGGATCCGTAAGTTAGGCCTAGCGGGCACGCGGGTAATCGACGACGAGGGTGGAGTGGGCAGTAGTCGTAATCGATATTTGCGGGTGTGCTGTCTCCGTAAGGTAAGGTACTCGGTTAGATAATGGTGTAGGTGAGGTATGGAACAGAACAGCGGCGGCGATTGCGTTTGCGACTTTGCGCACTTTCAGGTTTCGGTGGAGAAAGCAAGCACGCAATCCGGCGAGAAGCGGGGGGGCTGGCGTCGTGGTTGACGACCCCGTCTAGTGAATGTACGGATAGGATATTCGTAAGGTCGCAAGGTAGAGAAGCGGGCACGAAAACAGCTCGCGGGCGACACACTCCAGAGTGCAAGAGAGGGGTCGAGGCCGACAGAGACAGACTCAGAGTAGAAATGGATACGATTAGATCATGCTTGTGGCGGCTAGGTGGAAAGTAAAGGAATTGGAACGGCGGCAGGACAGTAGGTATGTATTGTCGTCAAAAGGTGGCTGTTTTGGCAGTCCGGTCGCATCTGCTGATGTCAGTTGTGGTGCGAAGAGGCGAAAAGGAATGAAGCTGCGTGACAGCGAGAATAGAGAGGTAATGTAAGTTGGTAAGGTAGGGCCGAAAGGTGTCTGCTGCTGCTGCTGCTACTGCTACTGAGGTGCGTTCAGGCAATGTAAGTATGAAGTACTCAGGTAGTCTTGTGCGACGGACAAATGAGCTTCATGGGTGAGGTAAGGTAAGGTAAAGTAAGGTAAGGTAAGGTAAGGTAAGGTAAGGTAAGGCAAGGTGAGGTGAGTGAGAGTGAGAGTGAGAGGTGAGAAGGTCCTGGTTGGGTAGCTCTACTCCCTACTCCGTACCCAAACTAAGTTGCGTGGTGTGCAGAGTGCTGGTGCGATGCGGAGCAGGTACTTTGAAAGGTATGTGGTCGGGTGGCGTGCCGCGTGTGGTGTGCAGACGGCAGAGTGTTGTTCCCCGCGCTCTGTGTTGGCGGTGCTTGGTGGAAGGAGGTGCCCAGGAGGTGCTCTCGACAAGAGTCTTTGCTAGCTTTCCTCACCACTCACCAAGTCATGTTACAGTCAATCGTTTCTGCGTTCTCGTAACTGTAAATTGTGAATATATGGTGCTGGATACGCCGAGCTACCTTGCAGAGTAATCAGTCAGTCGTGCCTGCCACGAATTGCAAGATGGACGAAGCATGTACCCATGTATTTACACACATAGAAAGTTACCAAGGTACTCAAGTACTCCACGATGTGGAAGGTACCAAGTCAGGGAAGGTGGCTACTTAACCTTTGGGTAAGGCGAAGCACCCAGTGACCAATGGCCTGTTCCCATCCCAATTCAATCCCAATGCCTCCCGTCCGTACAACCACAAGGTGACACTACCAGGCACAACGTCCAAGAGGCAATGCGCATGTCAGTACTCTTTATCCGTAGAAAGGAATCTCGTCGTTCAATCTTGAATGCTACTTATCCCTAGGCATCTTCTCATTTCAGAGGCCATGCTTGGAAGGAGCACCAACATTCCATGTTTCAATCCCAGGAAACCCTGTCACCACAAGCCTTGACACACAATCTCTGTTTAGTGTACCCATCCGTTTTTCGTATAAGGTAATGTGAGAGGTACCTCGACACCTACCTTGGACAGTAAAATACCTACCTTACCTCGTTAGCAGCTGGAGGTGGGCTTTTCCGGGGATTAGACCCGCTCCAGGACTCGCTTCCGTCGCTCTGCTGGAGCGTAGCGCGCTGAGGTGCGGTTGAGTGGGCGAGTGGGTGAGTGGGTAAGCGGTTAGCCGGGCTAAGTTCTAAGTTCCAAGTTCCAAGTACCTTACCCAGACTTACCAGAGTGAGAGTCTCAGACTCTCAGAGACCAGCAGGAGTGTCGCTCAGACCAATTCAGTGAAAGAGAGCCATCAGGAGCTATGTACGGAGTAGTTCCGTATGTCTCTCCCAGACCATATTCCAAGAGGCGTCTCTTTGCGCCTACATCCTTGCACTCATCGATGCCATGCAATGCTCTCTGTCGCTGTACGGTGTACCTACCTCTGTGGACCATCGAGGTTCCTTGTCGCGTTTCGCTTCGTCCTCCGCAAGGGACCTGAGTACCTGTCTGTACCTTACCTGAGGTGAGATCCTGAGTAAAAAAAGATACGTAGCAAAAGGGCTGGATGCTTCAAAGACAACCTACTAAAAAGTTGTCGAGACGCTTAAATCACACGTTGAGATGCACACAATCACGTGTTGCCGACGCACGTCCAAGGCATCGTATTTTTTTCTTCCTCTTTTAATCTCAAAATTCTGTCAGGCAGAGCTTCGGTTGCCCTTGTTTCGAGAAAATCAAAGTGTTTGGTTCCCCGATACCTAGCGCGGTGGGTGTGAGTGACAATATCTTCATTTTAGCGTCTGAGGTTCCGTCAAGTGGCCCTTTTGGCTGAGGTGCTGAGGTACGGAGTACTGGGAAGGTGGGGTAGCAGGTAGGGAACATGCTCACGGACCACCTGCACAAGATGTCGGGTAGATGGTAGCGGACATGGACGGCACCTGATCTGGTTGAAGTGGGGCGATGGGCAATTCCATGATTGGTTTTCCCAGCTGTGAGTGGCTGACATGTTTGGGGGAACTTGGGAAGGAAGTGTGGAAGGTCCTCCTTCTGGGCTAGTCTGTTGGTACCTTTGTACCTTTGTACCTCCTCACCTCCTCCCCTCCCCTACCTACCTTACCTAAGGTAGGTGCTCCGTCCAGCAGGAACCTACTTAGCCATGCTATCTCGGGACTTGCCTTCTCCCGCTAATCACCTGCGACACCTCAAGTATCGTCCTATCGTCCGTTCGCATTCCACCCAACATCTCCCACCAAAGACACGAGAAACGAGAAAGCACATCTCAACGTCAACCGTCCACCCGTCCCCGTCCACCCGTCCCCGTCCACCTCGCAAGGAACGGACTCGCGACTCGCGACGCCAGAGCTGAGCAGAGGTCAGTGTCACCGTCCAAGGGACGGGCTGGCAGGGGAACAGACTACAGGCTCACAGAGTAATACGACTCTGGCACTCGCTGCCCAAGGCCATTTCCGATATTCCTCTTCCTCTCTTTCAAGTTTGAGACCAGAAACCTCAGACCAGTCACTTTACTACGGATAGACCAGACCTCCTTTTCTCATCTCAACATACCTAGACTCATGGACCTCCGAGCACACCTGTACAAAGTACGGAGTACGGAGCACGGAGTACGAAACAGAGGCATTCTTTCACCTTAGTCAATGTTTCCTGTCTGCTTGTTCAACCCCCCCCCAACCCGACCTCAGTCTCACTTCATCTTGGCACACCGCGGCACGCAAGGTCCAGCTCCAAGACTCCATCTCAGCGCGGCTGCTGAAGCCGCTACTGTTGCGTGGCTGTTGCTATTATTGCCTGCTCGTTGTCGCATTATGGCGTTCCATTGCTCGATTGGAGAAGTCTCCAGCTCCGGCCAAGCATCTTCGGCCCCTTCTCTCCACTAGTAAGGCACCTTACGGATACTCTCAACCCATATTGTATGTCCATTCCTGCAGTATAGTATACCATCTACTACCATATTATGCATCTATATTTCGACTTGGACACGTACTCTGGACCATGTCTTGATACCTCACAGCCGTCCTCCCGCGATTCATTCCCAACTCCGGTCAAGCGCCCATCGTTGGGATCCGTCCAAGTTGCGAGATGACTGTCACATTCGAAGCCTCACTCACGGACATGGCCCATCTGCCAATCGGATGACAGAGTGACGACCCCGTTGCTAGCTTTTTCTGTCAATATCAAATCTAAATTCCTCCAAGTTCCAACCATGGCCTCTGGCAACTCTTGTCATTCCACGGACGCAGTTCCGTTACCTTGCGGCTGGTTTAGGTTGCCTGCTGCACCTTGCCCACCCATGCAGCCACCGCCCACATTCATTCCCGACTCGTTGAGCTCGCATACGAATAAACATTCACACCACATCTCATACTTCACCCACACACGCACACGCACACGCACACATGTCAGCCATGCAGCAGCCCGCGGGGCAACGCATAGGGCAGACACCACAATTCACCACCAGGGCAAGTCAGCTCAGACGCTCGTCTCATCCTGTATCCCTACTTCGTACGCCTTCACAACCTCCAACGCCGCCGTGCGAATATCCCACGTCCCCTGGTGCTCTAGGGTTCCCCTTTTTCGCTCTCTTCCATTGCCTCCTCGTCTTCCCCCCTCTGCTGCCTGGCCCTGCTCCCCCGATCCAAGCAAGCAACATCACACATGTTGTCGAGCGAGCAGCCTCCCTGCTTGGCCACATGTCTTCTACCACTCTACTTGTTCTACGCAGCAACTCTGCTCATCTATCGAGGCTACACTTCCCAGTGACTCCCAACCGTCGTTCACGACACTAACCGTCCAGGCGTGCAAGGCCCAAACTCTATTCTCCCATCACCACCTCCAAGCGTCAATATGGCCTGATACTGACATCTTATTTGGCAGTTCGATCTTTGCACCAAGCTGTGGCTACAGCTATCTCAAACCATGACTTCTCAGTCACCCTACCCAAACCAAATTCATCGTTTTCGCTACTCGCCCCTTACAGCGTCGCCTGTTGCCAAAGAACGCCCAGCTCTACCTGTTCTACCACCTAATCCCAGTCTCCCACTCTCCGACGCCACATGTCTTGCCTATGAACAAGAAGGACTGCCACCAGACAGCGATCAATGCGCTCACTGGAGGGCCCTCGTTTCGTTGCCTTCGGGCCTCTCAGCACCACCTCACCTCTCCTCTGCCTGGCCATCCTTGCACGTCTTACCGTTCCTGCGTTACCATGCACACCAACATCAGCCTGTACCTAGGGAGAGGCCGCGTCTGCAACCTCGTTCTTGTCCTCAGTACACCTCTGACACGGGTCGTTGCTCCGGAGTTCGCCGCCATCAAAGCCGCCCCACTCTCATGATTCTAGCTGTCTGGGTCATGCGAGATATGCAAAGCAACCAACCATAATGAACAACAATATCAACATTAACGTTGATGTTAACACTATCGCCTGGGGCGTTGGAGTCAGATGCAAGGCCTACCACCCTCCCTGTTCAACGATTCGCGAGCCGCAACGACGACAGGAAGATCGACAACCTTCTTGGGTCTAGATCTGAACTCATCAGTTGGCATAACATGCTTGGAGGCCTGGTCCAACCCTATGGGCTAGGTACTATTCCCAACACGCCATACGAAGTTTCATCGACAAGTCGAAGCACCGGCCAGAGGATGCATTGTTACATCCTCAATGGTCCCTGAAGATCTACGCGAGCTCCCGAGTAAAAGAGCGAGTCCAACACTCCATCACATGGGCCTGGACGTGGCCGCGCATGGATCGAGCTGGTAAAAGATGTTTTTGCTCCTCTTTTGTACCGAACCTCTCGTCCTTTCCCAGATATGGTATGCCAGTAAAATCCGCGCCACCCAAAACGAACGCAACAGAAACACAATTTCCAGAAAAACACGCCATTCTCTACTCTAATCTTGTCTTGCCGGGTCCAGTTTGACCTCTCCCACAATGGCATCGACCTCGGCCATGATCTCGGGCGTCAGCTTCTCCAGAACCTTCAATGCGCCCACATTCTCGACGATTTGCTCCGGCCGCGAGGCTCCGGTGATCACGGAGGTAACGTTGGGGTTCTTGAGGCACCACGCCAGGGCCAGCTGCGACTGCGTCGCGCCGAGCTTCTCCGCAATACCCTGCCACACACATTATCCCGGTTAGCTGTCATGTTGCGTGCCGAGTCGCCGGGCGGCGGACGCGCGGGGGGGGGAGTGACAGAAAACAACAGCATTCAACAGTAAAAACTCACCTTGAGCTTGACGACGTTCTGAATCAGCGCCTTCCACTCGTCGTTGCCGTACCACTCCTTATTGGCCCAGTTGACAAACTTATCGCCTTTGCCCTCCGCGAACCGGCTCCCGGCGGGAGGCGCGTCCGGGTTGTCGTTGTACTTGCCGCTCAGCAGGCCCATCTTGATGGGGCTGAAGACGGTGAGGCCGAGGCCGAAGCGCTGGTACAGCCTCTGGAACTCGTACTCGACCTTGCGGCGCTCGAGGATGTTGTACTGGGGCTGCTCGACGACGGGCGCGATCATGCGGAGGTCCCGCGCGATGCCGCAGGCCTCTGCGATCTCGTCGGCGCTCCACTCCGAGGTGCCCCAGTACATGGCGTAGCCCTTGTCGATGACGTGGTTGAAGGCGCGGACGGTTTCTTCCATGGGGGTCAGGCGGTCTGGTCGGTGGGCGTAGACGATGTCGACGTATTCGAGGTCGAGGCGCTTGAGGGAGGCGTGGAGGCCTTCGATGATGTGTTTGCGGGAGAGGCCGTGGTTGTTGACGAGGACTTGGCCGTTGGCGCCGCCCCAGTTGAGCTGGTATACCCAGGTTAGAAATATTGTTCGAAGCTGCTACAGACACTGCCAATGGGGGGTAAGGGTTCGTGGTTTACCTTTGTTGTAACGACTATGTCGTTGCGGTTCCAGTTGAACTTCTTGATGGCCTGGCCCATGATGATCTCCGAGTTCCCGCCCGCGTAGCTGCAATTGGAGGTTTGTGGTTAGCCAACCTCCCCGTCGCTCGGCCGCAGCCGCATGGGATTACACGAGACGGTCTGGAGGACTCACCTCTCAGCCGTATCGAAAAAGTTGACGCCAAGGTCGTAGGCTTGCTTCATACACGCAAACGTTTGCTCTGCAAGGTGACCGTTAGTCACGGCCCAGATCGTTCTAGACTTGGTTCCATACCATTCTCAACGTGGCCGCCGAAGCTGTGTGTTTACCAAGTTAGCACGACGTTCTCCCAAGTCACTGGGATACTGCCAATCTAGGTGAGGATGAGATTGAGGAACGTACGTCAACCAGCCGCCCAAACCCAGCACAGAGACGTGAAGTCCAGAGTTACCCAGGCGGCGGTACTGCATGCCCGTCTTTCTCGGCTCTTCCCACGCCATTGTGTCTGTTTGTGTCGGTTACGTTTACGGTTCGGGGTTGGTAGGTGACTAGGGAGGTTTCTTCGTCGGTGGTCGTCTTTACAATCTCTGAAGCTGTGGGAGTATGCGAAAAGAATCAAGATGTTTTGTTTACATTTGCTCTCACAATCTCTCATCTACGTTTTTTTTCTTTTTTTTTCTACACTGCCTAATGATTTACCCCTCCGCCTTCGGTCTCACGCACATGTTCAAAGCTCCTCCAAAAGAGCTTGCCCCGCACCCCGTCCCTCTGCGGAGATATTATCGGAAAGTAATGTTGCCTTTTTTTACCCCTCCATATAACCCCCCCCACCACGTCATACTAAGGTGTGGTAATCCGTAGTAGTGGAATCCGCTAGCATTGGCCAATTACTGTTGGATGCACACAACCTACCTTAGCACGCTTAGGTACCTTAATACCCGTGGACTTGTGTGTGCTGCAGTGCGGCTGGCTGCAGCTGGGCAAAACAGCTTGCATGTTGATCTCCCAAAGATTGTCTCCATGTATATGCGTACAAAAAGGATGGCGGTAGACGGGCAAGAGGTTCGGAGGCATACGGACGGGACCGCTGTAAACCCGGGCTGACCTCCTGTACTTTTGCGGCCGAAAGCCCGGCAGCCGATACGGGGTTGTGAATCTAGCGCTAATGGCTGGCTCATGGCGCTTGCTCGATGGCCGTCGCGGTCCATGTAAGCCGGTCGACCTACCTCCTGCGAAGGCGTCGTGGCGGGAACGCTTTCTGGTGAGACTAGGGACTTGGATAGAGTCAGTTTCTGAGGGTGTCTGACGTGGAGGCTACACCCGTGGTGTCCCATCGAGATGTTCCGCTTGGTTGACTCTTGAACAGCAGGTTGTACATTCCATCTCTCATCGCTAGAGACCGTGGGGATGTAGTCCAGTCGCGGCCGTCTACCAAGCCCATCCGAGCTTCACCGCCCTGTTCTGACGACGTAGTTGTCCTAGACTTTGGCCATCTGCGAACCAATAATTTGCATTGCTGTCGAGTAAACCAGGTAGGTGCCGGTGCATGCGATCATTCTGTGCCAGGTCTGCCGTCCTCGGGTATCCGGGGGAAGCTTCCTACCGACGTGACCCGTGTGATTCACGTCGCCGGTATGGCGTCTCAACCCGGCTCTGGACCAGTCTCCGTCATGATGGGTACTTCGGGTCTTGGAAGACGAGCCCGGGGGGAATGGAACAATTTGAGTTCTTGCTGAGAGACTGAGAGGAGCTTTGTCGATAAGATGACAGGCTATTCCACCTGTGAATGACGATAGGTGCCGAGCTTTCATTTGTATATTGATAATAGACTGATGCAATCGAAACAGTCCAAGGTTCGTAGAAGAATACGGATACCTGGTAACGATCTACCTAGTGGTAAAATATTGGTCCAGCTCATATTCAACTTAGTTCACATGGACATCTTAAACACGAGAGGTGCACTCTGTCATCGTTCTATGTATGTCGAAGCCCCAGTCTTGTTGTTCACACGTTGTCCGTGTTGTCGTTCTATGCCCGTCTACAAGTCAGAGAAACATTGACACTGATTCAACGCACTCTGCCTCGTTGTACTAATCCTCCGTTAACTCGCCATGAAACTAAAAGTCGCTGGACTCTGAAGCGTCCGCGAGCCCGTTCCTCACCCATTGAGGTCCTAAGGCTCCGGATCCCGAGCCAACCCCCTCTGTCAAGTCTTCCGGTGGACACCGGCAAAAATTTCGGGGACGGGATCGGGGGTGGCTGGTGGGGCCCAGCGCCGGCGGGGCACTGGGTAACGCAAACATCCATCCACTTGGGGGGGACCCGGTACCACCACCACACAACACACCTTCTCGCTTTCAACGCAGGCGCAGTTACACATGGGACACATGTGGGAGGTGATCTTCTCAACCTGCAACACGACACAACGTAATGGCGTTTATGCAACTACTTTGTTGATCGTCTCCCGCGCGTCTGCGGCTGTACCTGCTGGGGATCATCACGCCCTCGCTTTCGTGTCCCATGACTAGCAACGTGAGTGAGTAGCCTACAGACAAGTACTTACACCTCGCCCTGTGGACAAGTATAAGTTGAGGTACCTGCAACGTAGAGCGGAACCTCCGCAACCTGACAGCATGTACTCCGTAATTCCGTAGCCAAAAAGTTACCCCGCATGACGAAGACGGGTTCCATGGAGGGGCAGCTGCATCCATTCAACGTCCGATTCGGGGGAGACGGGAAGAGTCTCCCAGAAAGCCCATTCCCTCTCGTCATTCGTCCTTTCCTCGCTCGCTTTTCTCGCTTGAATTCTCCCGGGTGCCCAAGTGTCGGTAAGTGTCGGTATCAACCCATTCCCCACGGGAAAGATCCAAGTACCTGAAAGTTGGCTGCAACAAACCGCCGATCATCTCTTCTTCCCCTACCAGTACAACCAGTCCGCGCGCGCGCGCGCCAGCTCTGTGTCTTTTGTCTCCCGCCGTGTCCCGTGTTCGACGGAACATTGGCTTTCCTCTCCGCCTTACTCAGCTTCGTCAAGCCAACATTTTTCCCAATCTCCAGATTCTTCCAATTGGTCACCACGACCTGCCTTTACTCGCAGAAACTCTCGCAAAGCCCACCCCGCCAACGGACCAAGCTCCTATTTCCAAACAGCCAACCCCCGCCCCTCCTACCAGAGTGCCTGAACTTTGAACCTCTTAAAGGAGTCTCAACTTTCTCTTGTCTTTGCAGCATCTCTGATCGTATAAGACATAGACTGCTTTGTTCGTTTCCCTAGACTCTCTCTTGTTCTCAAGTCAATTGCAGTATTACGCGTGTTTGCAATAACTACACGACGAGTTCCAACCCCCGACCCCAATCGCCTCTCCTGAACCGGTATACAGCTTCTAGTCTCGAAGCTCAATCAACATTTGCAATTTCACCCTTTTCCTCGTGAATCCACAACACTAGATCGCCCGCAATGGCTCGATACGTCGTCGCGGAGAGCGCGGGCGGCCAGCCCCCCAAGAGACAGCTCCGCAAGTGGTGGAAAGAGAGCTCCGTATACCAAGTCTACCCGGCGTCCTTCCAGGACTCGACCGGCTCGGGCGTGGGCGACCTCAAGGGTATCATCGACCGCGTCGACCACTTTAAGTCCCTCGGCGTCGACATTGT